ACCGTGAATCATTCTTCGTTCTGGGTTTGATCTTGTGCTGCTACATAAAGCAATACTTTGTTTATAATTAAGTTACACTTTCTGTTTGTTTGAGCAAATAAATGAAGCTTTAAGAAGCTTTATTTCTGGAATTTATTTATTATCATTGTCATTAAATTGAAGTTGGACAGATTACTTGATTATGACTTGAAAATTCAAATTTGAGGACTTGGACTTGACTTGGACTTCCAGATCATTGACTTTGGACTTGACTTGGACTTGGTTGTCTTTGACTTGGACTTGACTCGAGACTTAACTGGAAAGACTTGTGACTTACTTGTGACTTGCAAAGCAGTGACTTGGTCACACCTCTGTCAGTCACTCTGAGCTTTTCATGCGGGCTGAACATGAAAATAGTCTCCTACACCTATTTCCTGCATTAGCTTCTGACAGAAAATAAACCGTGAAACTCTAGGATTCGAAAACCTTCACAGATCTATGTCACACTGTCACTTAACATTCATAGACTCACCCATTTTGATGAACAACGGCAAAGACTGTTGTTGGTTTAGCGTCCAGGAAACAGCCGAGACCGTTCTGTACAGTTGAAGCTGACTGTTAGCATTAGCGACTACACCACAGAAAAACTCCTCCAGGCTTGGTTATTTGTGAAGATAAAACATCCACATTGCAAGTCGGTGGTAGAGTCATGTTACTGTTATCCAATCCAAGGCAAGATGTACAGGAAATAACACTTTCTGCTGCAGCAGACTTATCCATGCTGATCCAAGAGTTTCTGGGCATGGTTTGCCCCGGGTACGGCTTGCAAGGCATTCATTCCTACCAGAGACAACTGCAAACGCACCAACTAAACAAGTTTCCACACTTTTAACCCTCTTATTACCAACCTGTCGCTGCCGACAGGATTTTAACATGCGCAATTCTCATGACCACAATTCCTGAACTGTTCAATATATCTGAAAAATTCCAAAAGTGCTGAAAAGCTTAGAAATGGGGCTTTTCGTGCATATACAATATGTTACAGTAGCCACCGGGATTCCCTGTCTTGAGCGCAACGAATCACAACACAGATTCAGAGATGTGCTGAGTTTGTCATCCAAAATGCTCCGTTTTATAACTTTTGAATGGCTGATCAGATTCACAAAATTCCAACGGTTCCTAAAAGTACATAAAAGCAGCTTTCCAACGATCTATAGCATGAAGCAATCAGAGTTATGGAAATATCGCTACGAGGGGAAATCCTGCTGTAAAGCGCCGCACCGCGGTGAAAGCGGATAAAGGAATGGGGAAGCTAATTAGCATAAAAAGCCGGCATGAAATTATAGAAATGCCTCAAAGAAAATCAACAAGACCTATTAGGTGTCCCAGAAGGCTTATATCTGAAGACAGTGACCACGAAGAAGGAGATCTCCAGTGAACCAGGGTATGAATGTTTGTTCGGTCTTTATTTTTTATTTTTTATTTGAACAACCCTCAACTATTTGCTAAAATAAAACAAAAATAAAAAACGTCTGAAAGTTTACAAAAAGAAATGGTCTTAAAAACTGCTAAAAAAGATACCAAGATTAAAACTTTTTTAAGAATAGATGCGTTACAGTTCAAAGTTTAAATTGTTCATTCCAAATTGTTTGCCCAAGTCATTTAGAAGTTCCTGTTCAGTAATAAATATGAAAAATTCTAATCCGTTTTTTGCTTTTTTCACTTTTAAGCTGATTTTTAAAGGCTTTAATAGAAATAAATTCTAAATACAAACCATACACTGAAAGCTGAGGTTGTTCTGAAAAAAGGAGAAGAGTTACACACACTTTCCACTTTTTATTACAATTTTACAGCCATAAGATTTAAAAAAAATACCATGCGGCCCTGTTATAATTATGGTCATAAGAGGGTTAAAGAGACAATGTGTAGTTTTTACCATTCATTTCTGAAAATTTCCATCAAAAATTTTATAATGCATGAAATAATGCCCAGTTGTTGAAAAATATTGGCAGCTTCTGAACATATGACCAAAAAATCAGGTCTAAAATACATGGGAGCGGGTGTAAGTCTCTGGGCGTCGCCATATTAGATCCCATGTTTCCTTCTACGGGAGCCCATGAGGACAAAATGCATTAATTGATTTGTTACAAACGGTTCCAAAACTTTCGCCATTTTTAAATGTTAAATGTCTTAAATGTTGTTTTACACATTTACCTCTTCACTTGTTGCCAGTGATGAAAGGGAGTCTAATGTGCTTGTCATTTAGATGAAGTTTGCACTCCTCAGGGCTTTTTGATCCTAATGGGCATCCGTTGGTAAGGTCTTACTCCAACACAAAAATACTGCTTGCTTGCAACCTTTTTGGTATCTACTGCCCCCGTCACCATGAAAAAGTACACACAGTCACTTTAAACAACTTGAAATAATCCAACTGTTTTTTTTATGATAAATATTTTTATTTCTAAATTCTAAGTGTTTTTAAACTCGTGTTTGTATGAAACCTCACTTTTGAAGATTTAGCAATCTCACAAATTACTTCAACTTATGCTCTCTGTTGGCCTGCTTCATACATTTCACTGCACTGCAGGTGGTTGCAACATCCTTCTTGTGACATTTAAAACGTTCCTCGCTCAGCTTCCACATGATTCCAGTGATGCCTCTTATCCTGTTTTTGTAAAAGCCATGGGAGAAAATGAAAAATAATTCTGGGGCAAAGAGAAAATCATCCTTGTGTATTAAAGCAGTGATTTTTACGTTGCCTGTTGTTCAGCACATCCACGAAGTGGTGTGAGAAAATTCCCCCTCTTCACCTCTGAACATTCTCACGTGTCCGGCCCACCCCGACGCCTTAGATTAACACAATCGTCATCCGTTGACATACTTTAGTGGCTCCCTTAATGTGCCGTCGCCGAGCTGCCTTACAATAACACAGCCTGACAGGTTTCATCAATATGTCAAGTGAGGAAACGTGAGGGTGAGAACTGCACAAAAAAATCCCACAAGTGGTTAAAAAGTGTGTTAGTGGCTGAATGTCACTGTTATCAACTTAACACTAAGCAGCGGTGGAGGGAAAGGACAGCAAGGGTGGGCGATGATATCTCCTCCTCCTCCCTGCTGCTTCTGAGAAACAAACTGGGCTGATTGACACCAGAAAGGAACTATCTGAATAAATAAACCTCGCCTTTATCTAAACAGCTTGTGTTCAAGCACTGCTGTGTGATTTCCTGTTGTGGCTGTACAGTAAAGGATAAGGTCAAACCGAAGCATAAACATGAGCTGCAGCTCATAATAACTCCAAATAACATGTTAGTCCAAAACAAACTACAAAAAGGTTTCCTATCAGTTCATGTAGCAATGGATTCATAAAAGTCCTGCATTAATTCAGACTTTATGTTGTTGCGTCTGTCTTCCAGTGCACCTAAGGCATTTATCACAGCAGCAATAACATCTCTGCTATAAGAGATGGCTGTTAATTTCAAAGGAGACGGTGGAGACATGCAACATGCTCACCGATCTGAAACTATGTTTAACAAAAGGCTGCACAGCTATTTCTTAATCAGCGTGTAAATATATTTCTATGTCGATGGTAAATCCTCATGTTGCACATTTGATCCGCTTAGTGTCACAGTAAATATCCTCCAGTAGGTTTACAGAAAGGTGATTTTAGTGACAGAAAACATCTGTTATAACTACATTTTTGGCTGTGCAGAGACTTGAACATCTGTTTTCTGTCAGCTTTTAGATCAAAATCAGTT